CTCGAGTATGGAGCTGACTAAAATGTAAAAAAAGAAAAATATATACGCGTCTAATAGACTTTATGTGATAAAGGACATAATATAAATTGCTCTAAAATACGAGCATGTCTTTCATATAGAATGGGAAGTACGTCAAAGTCCTTGATGCATTAAAATTTAATTAAAACAAAAATTATAGTTCATGTTTTTTAATTTTAATTTTATGCATTATTTGTTTAGTTTGATTCAAAAAATATATCAGATAGACGTGAATGGATAATAGTACATTATCATTCATTTTATAATCCATATTGTTTATTTGAACTTGAAATTCGATGGCTTGTAGCTACATCATGTACACTTGGAGATTTGATTACTCAGTGGTCACAACGCACAGGAACAATGCCTGATTCAAATCAAGTTGCATTTCATCTTGTACCAATTCCATGTGATTCATTTGCTGAATTTGATGCACTTATGAATATACAGAAATATATTTCTTCAAATTTTATCATTGTTTATATTCAATATAAGATTTACAAGTACTAAAATAAGTAAAGAATAGGTAAGAAACTTGTGTAGACAATTTCTATTTTATCTAATCAATCATAAGTCACTAATCTTGCTTCTGGTCTATAGAAAAAAAACAGACTTTAGAAAGCAGAATATGAAAATTATTGACTATTGGTTATTCTCAAGAAAGATATACATACTGATGAATTTTCATAGATGGAAAACTATACATAGACAATTCATGTATATTTATCTTTTATATTATTTAGGTTCAATTTATAAAAAAATAAATTCGTTATGTCTTCGTATTAAACTTACTAATCATCCTGATAAAGATCAAATTCTTCGAATAAATATCTTTCAAAAACTTATTCTAAAACGGTTTGTTGAATTTTATTTTTAGTTATGGTTTTATTTTAAATGCTTGAGTAAGTTATAGAAATGAAAAGATTTATTATGTTCATATTGGTGGTGGTATGTTAGTTTATATAATAATAGTTATTTATAATATCCATTTATAATAAGCGATCAACACATATTTTTATCAACAAGAATAACTTCTGATGGACAATTATCTCCAATTTATTATGGATTTTATTGGTGTTGGAATTTTTTTTAGGAAAAAAATGGCAAAGTTCTCAAACAGGTGGAAAAAAATATCAAGTTACTATGTTAGTTGATTTTTGAGCATTTTGCGTCAATGATAATAATCACTTATTTAATTTTGAAACGAATTAAATGCTTCAGCCAATGAAAAAATAAATGAAAAACAACAAAAATCTTCTAACGATTATTCTAATTCATTTCATAATATATATTTGGTGTGTGTATGCCAGTACTTGCTATGTACTTTGACTTTTGTGATAAAACAAAGAAAAGAAAATAAATTAATAAAGTCTTAATATAGTAATAAGTTCTTTCAAAAATCAAACTTTATTGACTTCTAATTATTACATACGATAAAATATTTTTCAAATTAGTTAAGAATACCATGTACAACATAGCCATCTCTCATACACACCCACACCGACACCCCCAAAAGAGGAAAAGAAAAGTCAAATAACACAAAAGAGATATTATTGATTTCGTTTATTTTACTTAAACAGTACAATAACGTATATAACTGTAATTGGGTGGATCAATGAGATTATACACATAAAAGGTACCACAGTTAGTTACCGATATTGTATTGTAAAGAGTACATGGTGATGAACCGGGTGTATAACACATTATGCCAGTAACAGTATTACTGAACGAAGGCAATGCTCCCGCGTACCAACCAGTATAGGTTGCAGTACAGTGATATCCGCCCGGTGGGAATGTTGCTATTTGAGTCCCACCAGCACCAAAGAAGCGAACCAAAGTGCCGGTTGAAAATAGTCCATAATCGTTTGCATATCCAAGTCCGGCTGTTATCAGACGTGTTGTATCATTGATAATTGTGTACGAATAACATTGTGATGGTAAGAACGTTGTTGTCGTACTTGTTGTACTAGCTAAATATGAAGTTTTGTATTTAAAGTAAATGAAATAAATAATTTTCTCTTTCAAATTAGAGACAAAGGCTCTTAATACAATTCCTATTGGATTAAAGTGTAGAACATGAGGAACTTTCGTATATTGTAAATCAAAAATTATGTATCATATGTTTCGATTTGTTAATTCTATATACAATACTGCTAATGTACGTCCCAGATGAAAGCTTCGAATGCTAACACATTATAGAAAAGTTGAAAGGGAGCCAAAAATAAGTTTCTTAAACTCATTTGACTTTAGCTTTGTAACTATTTCTATTACGTTGTGGAGATGAGGGATATATCCAAATTTTTACTTCTATACTTCAGCGCTTCTTCGAAGTCATATCTTATGCAAATAATCGGGATCACATTACAACTAGTCATATAATTCAACAGTTATATTTTTTAATTTTTCAGCACTTTCGTTTTTGAAATATAAAAAAAGCATTTAAATCGATGTCCTAATTTTCAAAAATAATAAAAATATTTTTACTTGTCACTGTTGTTGATGCTACCGTTGTTTTATTTATATAAACCAAGGCATAAATACCCATTACTACACTTGCCAGAACACCAAGAATAAGTAAAACTCCGACTGAGATTAATAAAACTTTGAAATATTTCTTGTTATTATTTTTATTGTTGTTGATATTCATCACACTGAAAGTTTTGTAATCAAAAATTATAAGGAACAAAGATATTGAGATATTTCTACTCACTCGGATGATGATTCAACGTTCTCAAAGCAATCCGATGGAGTACATAATGAATCTTTCTGTTCATGTGGTGGCAATTGTTTTATATTTTTCGGATGTTGTTGTTTCGTATTAC